CGGTGCCTAGCTACCATGCCACTCAAAGGAAGCAGGAGGGCTGGGATACTGCCAGGTTGCCCAAGCCTAGACAGGGGAAGTCGAGTGGCAGTGGTCGGGTTCGAACTACGAACCTTCCGGTCAGTAAATTCGCGCTCTAACCATTTGGGCCATCTCGTGACAGCGATTTGCAAAACATTGTTTTGGAACTGCACGAAATGTTCATCCCATAGCAAAAATCAGGGGGGAAGACAATTGAATATAAACAACTAACGGACAAGATTTACCTTCGTACATCCTATGCAACCACCGAGCTTGGTGGTCAACTGTTGGACTCCGTCAAATGAAGGTGCCACAGCTAAAGAGGTGCTTATTACTTTGATTTACTGCGACGCTTATGCCTGACAGTCTGAGGTAGGGTTGGAGCACATGGCAATTCAGCCAAAAGTATGAATTTCGTTTTTTTTTCATGCCCACCGAAACGCAACAGGCGAAGCTGCAATGGAGCCAGTAGAACTCATGTTATGACGCTCGTCATTCATTGAAAAGGGAATATCCAGGAATATATTATCTCAATGGGCGATTGCTCTCCCCACCAGGTTTATTTGCCGGCCCAGAAGACGACAAAACTTACGAAAGTTTATATGGACGTCAGTTAGTAGATAACTTTGGACAAACCTTGTTCCAAGTGAAACAAGTTGAAAATAAGGCAACATTTATGAAAGAGCCGTAACAACACTTTTGGGTTGCAAAAAAATGGTGTGAGTATTCTTTTCTGTGCTAACAAGGCACAATGAGAAGGTAAAAATGGCAGGCAGGTAAAAGGAGCAAAAAGCAATATAAAGATGCAACAAAGCGGTAGATTGTGTGGAGAAACCGGAGTATGATCACAGACCGTGCAATGAAGACCAAAAGATGCAACAAAGCGGTAGATTGTGTGGAGAAACCGGAGTATGATCACAGACCGTGCAATGAAGACCATTCTGGTAGTAGTGGAATAGGTTCAAAGGCACCCTCATTGGTACTGAGCGCAGACAGCTTCGGCTTCCAACATCTGACGTGAGCCTTCGCAAAACGGACTGCTATGGCAGAAATAATGCACGGGGTGAATGATCGGTTGGGAAGATGCCGATGAGATACGATAACAATCATGAATAAACGAGTCCTAATGGTAAGTGGCAACACCACTGTTCAGTGTTACAACCAATACGAGCTTTTATCGAAGTAGAAAGTCTAACAGTCCAGTCGGCTGTTTATCAGCTATCCAGCAGAGCGGTGAAGCCTCAGCTCACGAACTTACAAAAATACGAACATCGGCCTAACACACTGCAGCAGCTACAGGATCACCCGAATTTCCTAATGTGTAGCGTCTCGAAAAGGTGCCGTAAGTTCATTAACCGTAATTGAATCCCGTATTAGTTTAAGTATCCTGGGTACAGTTAAAGCACCTCGCTGGCCTATCTGACCAAAAGAGCTCACGTTACAACAGGAGAACGAGGCCTTTATGGCGGATGGGGAGCGGTAGATGCGAACGGTAACACAAAACGCGTCAATTCCATAGGAGCTCGGCTGACATGCCTACAGCCGGGACCCACCTTAGTGACTCTCGAAGAGGACAGGTCGTGAGTTAAGAGATAATAATGAGGAAAGATGTGCAGCGTCAGTAGTTAACTGTTTTTGCTAGTCAGCCGTGCAGTATGGAGCGAATAAGGCAACTCAGCTGTCACCACGGGACGGCTATGATATGAATGAAATTTCATCTGCAAAGTTCATGGACAGTAGTTCAAAGCCATTACAAGCTGAATTCGCAGAGATATCCCTCAGGATCAGGAAGTCGCCAATAACAAGGAGAAAGGGCCATTAGTAAGCTCCTTCAACATCTACATTGAGCAACGGGATATCAACAGGATGAAGTTTACTAGGTGCGAAACCAATTCAGACACCGCAGCCTGGCAACGAGGTGTGCAGATTGTGCGGTCATCCATCGACACAATGCTGATTATTCAAAAAGAGTGAGGAAAAGCTGATAGCCTGGAATAAGTTGAGTGAAAAACTGTACTCTTCAATAGTCGGTAATCATAACAAAGGATATTAAACCCCAAGCAGACAGACACCCAGGATCGATGGACCACGGTGCGCTGATTTTGATGACGTTCTGCTCTCAAAGTGATCAAGAAGATGAAAGTAGCAGATATAGACGTGTGAGATATAAACAGAAGCGGTGACATCAACTGCAGTGAAACAACCTACGTAAGCGCATCATTGATCACCATTGATACAATTTGTTATCGTTACTACCATAGTCAGCCTATATACCTTTGGTTTTGGTAGTTTTTTAAAACAGCGAATTCCTCAGCAAAGCCGAAAACAAGTGTTAAACGACCAAATATTGATGTACCATATCTAAACCTAAATTCGAACACTTTTTTACGAGCAGACAGCGCGCGGTGGAATTGTGGCTAACCGCATGCTGTAGTGTTCAGTAGTAGGTTGACGATGGTGTATGTGCACGTGGAATCCGCGTGAAAAAATTCGACCACCTTAGATAAAATGGCATGACCCATCAACTGAGGTATGTCAGTGATGACCCAAATGATATCACACAAACATCGATAGTGTTGTACTAATGGTATGTGTCTGTCAGGCCCACAATCACGATTGAGTAACCCAACGGTATTCGGTTGCACCCAAACTGGTTCTCGTTCAAGCGACGTCAAGTAAAACATTTGTATGCTGCTGATCACCGGAAATATCCCAGTCAAACCAAATACAGGACATATTTGGAATATGCATGTTCTGATAGGGTACCCGAAAATGGAAAAGTTTGTCACGTAAAAGTTGGTCACAAAGTCAATGGTGATGGTTGACATCTGACCATTTCCAAGCTCATGCATTCTTGACATCATTAAAGCATGCGAAAGCTTAATGACTTATATCAAACATCAATCCGAATTCTGTGGTAGCTATACACCAAAAGAATGCATTCAATTCATTGCAGAGAAGTTGATCATAGGATTTGAAGCTTACGGGCCACCAATTTAGTGCCACTTATTGTAGTTCGCGTAACTCCACGGCCTTTTGAGAAATTGTGGCGTCTCTGTCACAGGTATAGAAGGCTCATTTACAGACCTATGTAGTCAGGTTTTCTTATTGGGATGTATTATAGCAAGCTTTGGGACCGCATGGGCTCTACTTTTTTTAAGATACTTGATTTGAACCTCCCTAGCTAGCATCTGAGATCTAACGACCTGCAAGTGCTTTTGCAATGTCCCTGTTAACGAACCACTCGTTTTTATGTGACCAGCCTGGACTCCAAAAGGACAGCGCACACCTCCCTCTGGACTGAATTTCCATCAAGTCACCGAGTTGATTTGTCCTATCAATACGGTCAGCGTTCTCTATCCCATCGGTCGGTAAACCACGCTGCGGATACTTTCGGGAACAATTCTGTGAAACTCTTTGGGGAAGCGGGAATTAAAGGCCCCGAGAAAAAAGCTGTTGTAATACCCATGCAACGAACAAGCACATGTAAATGCAGATTAAGTGATCTGAACTAGTCAGCAAAGGATGCACGACCTAGGTAACTGCCCAACCATTTCGGGATGATTACATGGATATGTTTGAAGCATGATAGTTGTTTATCCTGTGGGTCACATTGTTGTCAAAATAGGACACCGCAGTGATGTGATAGCAATCAAAACTGATTCACCTTGAAGCTCATGGGTCGGAATTAATCACAGGAAAAGGCAAAAAAAGTAATCACTGGCAACACAAAATTCCTTCGGGAGGTTTTTGTTCTTCTCCCTGAATATGCGTCTAGTGTCGGATTCAGCAGGCTGCTCCCAAATTCGCAAGGTCGTATGTGATTGGCAAAGTTACCTAAGGACGACACCATGTGACCAGTACACCTTTACCCGTAGGGGATTCTTACCTTTGTGTCACAATAACATTGCCGCTACATTCTGTACAGATTACACATATCATCACTCGAATGGTCTGCAGGGTATGGCGATTGAAACTTGGGTCATCATTGTTTGACTAAGCCGAGGAAACCTAAGAGAAACAGTTCAACGAATACAAGGCGAGCTTGGAGTAAAGTCGTGCTGTTCACTGTTGCAGAAGCGTGAGAACACTTAGGTGTTTCTCGCGGGAAGTAATGGTGCTGAGCCCCACCAAGGAAGGATAGGTTTGAAAAGGATGGCTTGAAAAACACATGATCAAAATACCTCTAAAAGTCAAGGGTTTGGCGCTGATCAGAAGACGTCTGCTGCGAACAATAACCATGCTCCTTACGCCATAACACGAAGTCAAATTCTCACTGCCTTACGGGTCAGTTAAAGGCTCTGGATGAGGTGCTCGAGATAAACCCGCATTTCTACACACTGTAGCCAAAAAGTGGGATAGATGGAGATGGAGACAGGCTTGAAAGGGGAAGTACTCTTGTCCCAAAGGAGCCCAAACGCCTCATGCTAGACCTCGCGGCACTCAGTAAGACCGGGTTGGCTGACCAACGAAAGCCATGAGGCTGCCTGTGGCTAAACTTTCCATCGGAGTGAAACAATACATGAAAGCTGACCTGAATATGGTATCATATACGTAGTTTCAGGTAACATGTACTAAAAAATAACGGAATGGTCGAACTAAAAAATGACAACCATCCGATTACGGCTGTCGAGAGCAAGGCTTGGCACATTGAGCAGCGCCTTTACGCCAAAATGCCAGACGAGGAAAAGAACAAATCCCAGGACAAATTGTTGAAAGTGATCAAGTCTGCACCCCTATTTATGTTGGACGATTACGATACCCTAGTTAGCAAGGTGCTGGAAGTCTGGAAGGAGATACTGAATCCATTTAGAATCGGATCAATGAAGAACAACAACGGAAAACTGCTGGTGGTGGTGTGTGTGCAGTATCTGAACTCTCAATAGCAGATAAGTGGTCATAAAACGGTCATCTAGGCAGCCGTGCGGTGTAAAGACGCAACGTGTCACAATGCTGTGAAACAAAGCAGTTATATATATTGTACGGTGTATAGGCAAGTCAGCAACAACGCCCCAATGAAATCCGAGAAATGGGTGCAGAAATTTGAGCTGGACCAAGACCAACAGGGTGGAGATCACCTGGTTTCGGAATAACGTTTCGGTTCAATATTCCCCGTGCAGCAGAGATGAAGGCCTCCGACACATTCCTCCCGGTTTTCGCAGAGGTTTCAAAAAATGCACAGGCACCATTCTCCTCGGCACATTCTCTTGCTTCTAGTTCAGTGACCTGTGATCCGACAGAAAAAGAAATTCCACGGATAAATTTTCAGATATGTATTCGCACTTATAATACTATGTATTTTGCCACTTCAAAGTTGGAAATTATCGCCGGTTAGTGGGGCTAGGCACATTCGGATACTCGCCAATATGGTGGTGACCAGCTACCCTACCACTTACTATTTAGGATGCGTCTCAAAGGGAAAGAAGTCAGTAGCAAATCTTGCAGACAATAAAACATCAACAACAGTTCCATTATTTTACTGGATATTAGTGAACAGTGGTTTTGCGCCATCAGGATAGCGGATGTGTTTGAGTGAAGAGAAATTGAGTCCAAACCAAAGAGTATGGATGGCGTGGTGTAGGCTTCGCCTGTATCCTAGAACTGTTTTCCCACCAAGTTAAGTAAGTAAGGCGTGTGAGTATCAAGGTACAATGTTACCAGTTGCCATAGCTGTATTCCTTGACGGAGAGGACAACCTGCACCCGCAGTACTCGTCGTTCAGCTGTAGCACACTTCCAGTGCCTAACTGCCATGCCACCCAAAGGAAGCACGAGGGATGGGATACTGCCAGGTTGCCCAAACCAAGACAGGGCAAGTCGACAGGCAAAAGTCGGGTTCGAGTCACGGGCCTTCCGGTCAGTAAATTCGCGCTCTAACCACTGAACCATCTCTACCTACGATACTGGTTTGCAGTGTTAATAACAAGATACGAAAGTGCTATGCATTAAACGAGATAGCACGGATGTACGGTCGGGGAACTGGAACCGAAAGTTGCCAACCAGAATTAATTTTCTGGTCATATATATA